GGGGAAATTTCAGACAAAAACCTGAAGACAACGACAGGGTACGAGGAGACGATCTCTTTGGCTTTGTTCAACACAACCTCCATCTCTTCCTTGTTCAATCGGTTTCCACTGAACATAGAACCCATTTCTTCCCTCACCGAAAGAGTTAATATCTAACAGAATACGGACAAAGGAACCCTTACTACAGATGTCTTCCGCTCGAGTTTCGTGCCAATCTTGCTGGCAATGAACCAGGAATCGAATTATGTTCGAAGAAGAACTTGTCGTTTACTTTTGGAGAAGAAAGTATCGTTTTTTATTTTTCACAAAGATAACAAAGTATCGTTTACTTTGTGCTTTCGTTTAAGACAAAACTAAGTTTACTAATTATTTAGGGTCCCATTAGAGGATTTATTACTCATTCGATTATGTAAGAAAGATATGGGTCACGACGACTCACTGGGTCAAGGATTTTTTTTTATATGGCGACGACGACGACTTGAGAGCACGAAGTCATTCTGCATAATTCAGCAGCTTCTCTCATCTTTTCTTTTCGCTAGTGTAAAGTTGCAGGATGGGAGGTTGTGTCTCCGTACAACTATCATGTGATAAAGTGTTGAACAGTGTCTTTAACAGCTTAAGCAGAAACAGAGATTATGTTCATGGTATCGACAAGAATCTTGCGGCTCTCACAAGATCATTGGAGCAGATCGAGCAGAGACGAGAAGATTTGTTGAGAAAGATCGAGGTAGAAGAAAGAAGAGGTCTACAACGACTTGTTGTCGTACAAGGATGGGTTTCAAAGGTTGAAGAGTTGGTATCTCGAGGTAATGAAGTGCTAGAGATGAGATCTGTTCAAGCTCAAAAGRTGTGTCTTTGTGGGTATTGTTCCAAGAGTCCCGCATCAAATTACCGTTATGGGAAGTTAGTCATGGAGATGGTAGAAGAAATCGAGGTTTTGACATCTCGGGGAGATTTCGCGGTGGTGGCTGAGAGAGTTGTTCCAACTAGAGTTGAAGAGAGGCCTACTCGACCTATGGTTGGTATGGAGCCAATGCTTGAGAGTGTGTGGAACCGTCTTATGGAAGATGAGATTGGGATTCTTGGTCTTCATGGTATGGGTGGAGTCGGCAAAACTACCATCCTAAGTCACATTAACAATAGATTCTCTAGAGCTGGGGATGATTACGATATTGTGATTTGGGTCGTAGTGTCCAGAGACTTACAGATACATAGGATCCAAGACGAGATATGGGAGAAGTTGAGGGCTGATGATGAGGAGTGGAAACAGAAAAGAGAAAGTAGCAAAGCCACCGCCATTTTTAATGTCTTAAAGCAACACAAGTTTGTGTTGTTGTTGGATGACATATGGAGTAAAGTGGATCTAATGAAGATTGGAGTTCCATTTCCGAGCAGAGAAAACGGATGTAAAATAGTATTCACCACTCGCCTGATAGAAATTTGCGGGAGAATGGGAGTTGACAGCGATATGGAAGTGCGGTGTTTGGGACCAGATGATGCATGGGATTTGTTTGCAAAGAAAGTCGGAGAGCCCACATTAGAAAGCCATCTAGATATTCCCACACTCGCAAGAAAAGTTGCTAAAAAATGTCGCGGTTTACCATTGGCGCTCAACGTCATTGGTGAGACAATGGCATACAAAAGGACTGTACAAGAATGGCGTCTCGCAATTGATGTTTTGACTTCATCTGCAGCTGAGTTTTCAGGTATGGAAGATGAGATTCTTCCTATTTTAAAGTATAGCTATGATAATTTAAAGAGCGAGCAACTCAAACTGTGTTTCCAATACTGTGCTCTATTCCCAGAAGATGATTACATTGAAACGGAAGATTTGGTAGATTATTGGATAGGTGAGGGAATCATAGATGGACACAAAGGTAGAGCTGAGAACCAGGGCTATGAAATTATCGGTAGTCTAGTTCGTTCATGTTTATTGATGGAGGAGGACCAAGAAACAGTGAAGATGCATGACGTTGTCCGTGAATTAGCTTTGTGGATAGCATCTGATTTTGGAAAGCAAAAAGAAAACTTTACGGTACAAGCGGGTTTCCAATTAAGTAAAATACCTGAGATCAACAAGTGGAAAGCTACGAGAAGGGTGTCACTGATGTTTAACCAAATTGAAACTATACTTGAGACTCCGGAGTGTCCCCAACTTATAACTTTGTTCCTGCAAAACAACTGCTTGAATTATATCTCAGGTAAATTCTTTCAGCGTATGCCAAAACTAGTGGTTCTAGATCTATCAAGCAATGATCAACTCAGCTATTTGCCGGAGGAAATATTAGAATGCGTCTCATTGCAGTACCTGAGCTTATCACGTACAGGGATAAAGGTTTTGCCTCTAGGTTTACTAGAGTTAAACAAACTTATATACCTGAATTTGGAGTACACAAGGATGGTAGAGTGTATCTATGGCATATCCGCTTTAACGAAGTTGAAAGTGTTGAGATTATTTGTTTCCGGTTTCCCAGAAGATCCTTGTGTTGTGGATGAGTTGCGGCTCTTGGCCAATCTGCAGACTTTAACCATAACTCTTGGTCTTGCGTCTGTTCTGAAAAAATTCCTCGGCAACGAAATATTGGCAAGCTGTACACGAGTTCTGTGCATTGAGAATCTTCATCCACAATCATCTGAAATCTCATTTGTTACCTCTCTGGATAGTCTTCAAGATCTTTATCTCGGAAACTCTGACATCTCTGAGATCAAAGTCGAGAGGAGAGAGACGGCATTGCCCTTGCATAGCCCAACCAGTCCATTCTTTCCAAACCTCTCTCACGTGTCCGTAGCGTTCTGCAAAGGTTTGCTCGATTTGACATGGCTGCTTTTTGCTCCAAATCTTACTGTTCTACGAGTAATGTCAGCGAGTGAACTGGAAGAAATAATAAGCAAAGATAAATCTGAGCAGCACAGTGTCATTCCATTCCAGAAACTAAAAGAGCTGCACTTAGAAGACAATTGGATGCTGAGGAGCATCCACATGAATCCTCTGCCATTTCCCTGTTTGCAGAAAATCTTTGTCAGTACTTGTTACCTGCTGAGAAAACTTCCACTCGATTCCACGAGTGTCGTCAGAGGTGATCTTATCATAGAGGCATCCCAATTTTGGATCCGAAACCTTGAATGGGAGGACGAAGCTGCAAAAGACCGTTTCTTGCCTTCATTCAAGGTTCCTTCTTTCTCTTGCCTTCTCTAATTAAAACTTCTACTTTTCAGTTTTTCATTTGGATCTTTTTCTCTTTGTTGTTGTTGTTTTAGGCTTTTTCGGGTTCATGGCGCAACAACATAGATGGCCGCTGAAGCTACCATTTGGAGTTCCTGTTGTCGAATTTGAATCTGTATTTAAACATTAAATGTTTATAGCTGATAATCTCAGACGCTACTTTTTGAAGGCAACTCAAGACAAACCAATGTATAAGAAGACCCGTTAAACACTTGCCACAATGCTTCCTCATCGAAGAACCCGGTCATAGAAGGAGCAAGTTGCCACAATGCTTTGCTTCTCACCCTTCCTGTCACTGACCTTCGCTACAACAAAACCATTATCCATACAAGCCACACACCAAAACAACACCCATTCAGAAAAGGATGGTGCTTGATACTCCACACTACTACACCTAGAGACACGGATACTTCGTTCACAGGTCTTGAAACACACCTCATGTCCCAAACCCTTAAGGTTTCATCATTACTTCCGATAAATATAGACTGAACAAAGCTCAAAGTCGTGTCTTTTCCATTCTTGCACTGTTTTTAAGTAAGAATCAATGAGTGAAACAGCTGAAGCAGAGCCATCTACGATAGATGTTGATGATTGATCCTAATCCAGACAAACACACATTGGTGAGGTGTTTTTTTCTTCTTCACTAGATATTTCTACTCAGATTACCTACAAGCAACAAAAAAAAAGGCTGATGCATCTTAAGAAAAAACCCAACAAATTGATCTTCTAATTTCTCCCAATCACATTGCATTCAAAGTTCCAATTTTTTTTTCAATCAATTACTGGGTTATTTGATTCAGAAGATTCCTAAGCAAAAATTCAACTACAAAATCAAAAATCTTACCTTTTTTCTTCAGTTTTGTCTATCCAGTAAAAAATCGCAAGCATCCACCAGCAGCATCGGCTTTAATGTAGTTTACCAATATGACCTTCATTGTTTCCATTAATGACCCGAAAGAAAAGCGAAGGAGAAGAGAAGCAAACAGAGACGCGTGGCTCGTTGGTCGACGAAAGGAAGAAGACGGTGAATGGTTTACTTTAACCACGAACCGACCGGTTCAAGTAATATGTTCGGTTTTCTGGTATTCAACTTGATTTATCCGGTTTTTTAGGCTGGGTTTAAGAATAAAAAAATACCCGGACCGGATTTCTCAACCAGGTCATTGTTTAAAGAAGAAGAAGATGAGAAATTGATTTGACCGGTGAAAACAGAGGATAGTAGCGAAACCTAGACAGGTCCGTGTAAGATGGGGATTTGTTCAAAATGATAGAAACTAGCAAACCTTAAGCAAGTTAAGCAGCCATTGCTCTCCCCACATAACCCAAAGTAGCTTAAGAAAAGTCTTCGAATTTCTCCTTTTTCTTCCCCAGTATCAAGTATCAGTTTCTCCGAGGGGAAAGTTTTCTCTTCTTTTTTTGAGAAATCTGAGGAATTCTTGTGTATTAGAATCATGGGTTTTTGTCTGTTTATGCATTAAATCGATAAAACCCTGTGTTGCTTAGCTAGGGTTTAACTGTGAATTGCTGCTTCCTTAACCGGCCATGGCTGCTAAACTTGTGTCCTCCTCGGCTTCTTCTTTGGTTCCATCCTTTTTCTCACCTTTTCAACCTCGGAGTTCCTTTCAGGTGACATTTCTTTAATCAATCTTCCTTAATTTTTGCTTAGCCTTTGGATTTTTCTTCTTTGGTTTCTCTGTGTCTCATGCTCCCAATTTATTGTATTGTTAATGTGGTTTTGGGACCTTGAACAAATTGTCTTATACGATTCATTGTATCTAGCTAGGAACCCTAGTTGAGACTACTAATAGACAATGAGTTAGAGAGAAAAACCAGAACTCTATCTGATCAATATGCTTATCAGATTCTGATGAAATGAAATCAAGTGTCTGTTTCATTTTGTTGTTGTTGATATGGTTATTACCAGCTGCTTCTTGCTCTTGTGAAGGTTATGTTTATGGATATTTGCTAACATTCACTTTTTCCAATCTCTAGTTTCGCTCATCTAGGCATCAGCCTGCTCATCTTCATTGTTACCATTCTCTGCCCTTTAAAACTGATAAAAGTAAGTTCCTTTCTTTACAGTAAGTCTCTTCGGTTTCAGGTATAAGTAAGTTTTCTGATTGTTTTTTTCATTTGTTATGAACAGTTTATTCTCTCCACATTTCCTTCAGAGACCATAAACAAAGAGTAGTCTCCCGAAAGAGAGGTTATTTGCCTCTTGCTACTTCGGAAGAACAGTTCCAATACACTGACCAAACACCCGACGATCCAGAAACACTAAGTCCCCAAATCGGCTCCGAAACTACAACTCGAGATGATAGTTCCTCTATCCAATACAATGGAAAACCGGGTTTCATTTCGTTTTATAATCCTCGGAACAAAACAGAGGATATCATTGTCCCTCCTGAAGCCCAAAGTACATGGGGACGCCTGCTCTGGCTCATTGGTCCTGCTGTCTTAGTTTCCTCTTTCATTTTACCTCCGATTTACTTACGAAGAATAGTATCAGCAGTTTTTGAAGACTCGTTGCTCACAGGTTCTTCATGTTTCTCCCTTTTCTCGTTTTACTTGTCCCTGCTCTTCCACAAGTGCAGAGGCAGAGTTGCTGATTCTTCCGTCTTCTACTTGCAGACTTCCTCATATTGTTCTTCACTGAGGCTCTCTTCTACTGTGGAGTCGCTGCTTTTCTTCTGGTTATAGACCGTTCAAGAAAGTCATCCAGTAAAGTTCCCGATAACCGAACCAATCCTTCTCAGTTAGGACAAAGAATCACCTCTGTGGCAACGTTAGTCCTTAGTCTTATGATTCCAATGGTGACAATGGGATTAGTCTGGCCATGGACGGGACCTGCAGCATCAGCCACTCTTGCACCATACCTTGTAGGTATCGTTGTTCAATTTGCATTCGAACAGTACGCTAGATACCGTAATTCTCCATCGTCTCCTATCATCCCAATCATCTTTCAGGTATGTAATCACTCTTTTTCAATCCACACCTCTAATCATTATTCTTCACTTTGAAACACTTTTGAAGGAAATCTTTTTGGTTTTTGTAGGTATACAGACTTCATCAGCTGAACAGAGCGGCGCAATTAGTAACAGCATTGTCATTTACGGTTAAAGGAGCAGAGGCAACAGTTAATAATCTAGCAATCAAGAAATCGTTGGGTACGCTTTTGAATGTGATACAGGTTTTAGGTGTGATTTCAATATGGTCTATATCAAGCTTCCTCATGTGGTTATCATCACCTTCTCAAAACTAGTATTGATGTATGTATGAACAGCTTTCTTGCTAAATTAAGTCCATGTCAAATTATAGAGAAGAAGAGTAACAGTTCTTTTTCAATCTCTCAACTTTAAATTAACTTCCACCTTTTGATAGATTTATTTTACTCCTGAAAGATAAAAAGTTCATGCTTGAGATGCCAAGTTTGGATACTCTTGGAATCATAAGAGTAATTGAAAAACTCTCAAAAAGTTTTTGCTATTTTTGGTAATTGAATATCCTTACTAAAATTGTCTCCCTTGTCCGAAAAAAAGTCCATCATGTTCTGTCAAATTGCTTTATTTTTACATTTCAACCATGTGAAAACTAATGGCTTAGTCCTCAAGTCACCAGCTCTCAGAATAATGTCCATGTCAAGTTTTATTGTCATTACTGACCTGAATCGAAATTTAAATTATTGTAAAAACAATTTAATTCAAAGTTTCAAAGTTCAAACCCATTCTAGGTAATAAAAGGGGAAAAAAACTTGTTTGAATATGGAGAAAGAAAAATGTATGCCATTAAGGTAAAAAATCGATTTCAATATCACTGAGAATAGATATTGAATATCTCTATCTTTTACACACCCACATGCAAAAAGGCACTTTCAAAAATTAATTTGTGCAAAAGATGGCCGCTCTGCCTACGAAAACGACATGACATGCGGATGGAAGATTTTTGCACATCATTATTTACAAATTATATTTCAAAACATAACTATTTCTCGTGGATAAACATGTATTTCATATCGAAATATACCACAATATCAAAGGCTTAAAGAGAATATCTTCTCTTGCTAATCTACTCTTGAGTATGTACGTAAACCTTGCGAAACATAGATCGACGAAAAACTAACAAAAAACTCAGATATTAAACACACAAGAAAATTGTGACTTTTGTCAGAGCCCAAGATCTAGATCTGTTCTTCAACAAGACTGACTATATGTATGTAAAGTATCCTATGATAAACATTACCAAAACATAATGGACACATAGCTACAGAATCGCT